GGGAGAGGGGGAGGTAATTTGTGGTTTTTTTAATTTATTTTATTCCTTCTTTTATTATTTAAAAGGAAGAGGTCCCTTCTTTATAAAGAGACGTGAATTGAGTAAAGAAATTATTTTTGGGTCTCCTGAAACGATCTTTGGGGTGGACTCCCTTGCAGAACCTGAGAGAGGGTATATCCTCTCATCTTTTTACTTTTATTTGTATTTTTATTTGATTTATTTTTCTTCCCTGCATCAAGTGGTATCGAAGCAAAGAAGATCCAATCATCACAATGCTTACACAAACAACTAATGATTTATTTATGGAGCATATAGATCAAATATTTGAGCAACTAGATCAACAACTTGAAAAAAACCAAACAAGACTTGATAGAAGGCCTTGGCAAAATATTGCAACAAGTGTTACAAGATCAATTCAGCAGATTGCAATATGAGGAAGAAGAAGATGAAGAGGTAAATCTCAATGCAAAAGATGCTGGTATCCCAAAAGTGCTAAAAATTTTGAAAGTTAATTATTAAGAAGAAGATAACCATATTGCAGCATGTGAAATACGACCCTGTGAGCCAGAAGGAGAAATCATGATACATTTTGGTATTCCAGAGTTCGGTATTTCAGAGTTCCATTACAAATTGTGTTAGATCAATTGTTTATTTGAAGAAAAAGTATCGATAAGAATGTTGGGACTGCATCACCAATTTTTGAGAAGGCCTCTAAATTATTTGAGTTCAACAAGCTCGAGGTCGAGCTTCTTCCAATCCCGGGAGAATGATGCAAATAAAAGTTGGGTATTCAAAATTTTATTTTTTAATGGATAATTTTTTTTTTAGGAATTGGGTGTGGCATGGGTTTTTTTAATGTGGTTAGGGAGTTGGTTTTTTAGGATAAGTTAAGGCTTGGTTGGTTTAATGAAATAAGGATAAGAAGGATAAGTTAGGCTTGGTTGCTTTTATATAAGATAAGGGAGCATAGAATCATGGGCTTCACGTGAGAGAACAGAGAGAGATTAACATAAATTGGTGATGGAGTGGGACAGATGGAGGCAATTTTTGGTGTTTTTAATTTATTTTAAATCCTTCATTTAGTTTGTATTTAAAGGGAAGAGGTCCCTTCTTTGTAAAGAGATGGTAAATTGAGTAAAGAAACTGTTCTTTGGGGTAGACTCCGTTGCAGACCCTGAGATGGGGTATATTCTTTCATCCCATTTTTTTATTTGTTTATTTTCGATGTTCCCTGCATCAATCTCTTTTGAGAATCAACCTGCCTCCTCGGGGTTAATAATATGCACCGATATTTTCTGCCCATTATTGATGAATATTGCTCAACTCTTTAGCCTAAGAAGGTTGCTTGGAAATTGGGAATTCGACTTGTCTCCCATAAAGGCTGTATCAATTGTATAGTGTATCTTGTTGTCTATTATTAATGAAAGTTAAAAAATGATGAAAAATCTCAGTAAATCAAATGTTTGGGACTGTGGCTTCCAGATTCTGTCTCTATAAATAATTTGCATGTGATTAACTTTTGATATTCAATTCCTGGTTCAAATATCCCATAGTTTATCTTCCCTTTTGACAAACTTTTGCAGCCCCAAAGAGAAAGAAACCGCGGGCAGTGAAGTTAGAATATGGCGCCAGTGCTTCCATTGCGGCTGGCTCATCTATCCCTTCAGAGAGCATCATCCATGTATCATCTACCATGCCAACTAGTGCCTCTTTTGATATCAAAGTTGAACTTGAAAATGATTCCCAAAATACAAAGATGGAAGTGTTGTCTCCCAAAGCAGAAAAAGGTATTGTACCTGGCCCTGGTTCTTCAACAAATCCTACTTGCGTCTTTACAGGTTACTCCATCATCACAAACACCAATTATACAAAACATGGTCCAAATGGAGGAAAAAGTAAATCCCCCAACTCATATAGAAACAAAACCCAACTTGCCTCTAGAGAGCAATTTAGTGGCAGCTGAGGCTACTTCTACAACATCATCTGATCAAAGGAAGTCATACTCTGGAAACAATCTTGATAGTTCAAAGATGTAAGTATCTTCCAGTCAAGAGACCAATGTTAATTGTTTAGAATAAACTATTTGTGTATGTTTATGGATAACGTATTTCGACACCCTTTTCAGGCTCCTGCAGTCTACATTCTCAGAGTCATTGAAGTGCTTTTTTTTGTTTCTTTGTTTTCCGTTACCTCAACCCGCTGCTTGTTTTTACAGGTTTTCCTCAGTTTCTGTATCTGTTGAGAGAGTCACTGAGACCAAGTTAATGATTGATTTAATGGTTTGTACTCTTGAATCATTCTTTAATTGAATACATATTTATTCTTTTTTTGGATTTTGAATGTATTCTTTTTCTATGAGGATAGGCTCTTCCGGAAAATACTCGTCTAGATAATGATGATGCACCTAAGTCGTCCGAGAAAGATGTCCCTCATTTGTCAACTCCAAATCCTGTGAGTAATTCCATTTTCAGCTTCACTGGACTATCTGCTTTTGTCCAAATTCAATGCAGATTTTACAAACCCAACGTTAAATAGATGAAATTTCATTAAATAATTATAAAAACTTACTTGGCTTTTATCTTAATTCTTTGGTTTTTTATCAGAGCATGGTTACTCAAACCTCCAGTAACAGGAGAATGGAAACTGAGGGGAATATGGGACAGAATTTGATTATTCAACAAGTGGAGGAGAACACCCAAATAAAGAAATTGGATGAGGAGATGAAACTGGAGAAACAGCATCTTAAAGAGGCAAATACTGAGTCGCACTTTGATGGGAGCAAACTGGAATTGGACGTTAACAAGCAGAGACCCAAAAACAAAAGAAAAGCAGAGAGAACTGGTGTGTATTAGATGGATCTGATACTCTCTTATGTTGAGTGATTGAATTTCCTCTTATTGAATTTGGCTGATTCGTGATTGTAAAATGTATACTTCAGCACCACCTGCTGGTACTATCACATCATCCTCAGTCCCTATTCCTGTAACACTTACTGGCTGGCGTGGCAGCCTTCCTCCTGTTGGGTATGTACATAGTGAGCATATCATAAGTATATCGGGTATACATAGTGAGCATATCTTGTTTCTTTTAACTAAGTGCGAGTCCTATTGTTCTTGAAATTTGGGTATTACTAGATACTGAGCTATGTTGCTTCTATCAGGTATTTGGGCCCAACATCAGCTAATTTATCTGGCTTCCCGTCTCTTCAAGGAGCAGTGCCAATGGAAGCAAACTCTACAATACCAAATGTAAAACTAATTGCTTCCTCATAAAGCTAATTCTCATGATCTTTTTATCTGGATAGCGAAGCAGTATATAAGAATTTGATATCTTAGGCTTTTTTAAGGGTGAATACGACTCCTCAAATCAATTAGTATGTCCTCTGAATAGCATGTTTTACGACATATTAATGGCAGGAAGTGGTAGATTTGTGCTGGTTTCTTATATAGTTTTGTTTTCCGTGTTCCCTCCTATTAATTTTTCTGTGTATTGTTAGACACTTGCATAGCCCAAGAAATGGTAAAGCATCCTTTGGACCCTTTAGAATTTTGTATAGAGCACCCAGTTGTGGGTTGCCTTCAATCTTGTATTTCCTTTGTAGTTCTTCCTCAATATAGAAGTTAACACATCCAAACAAGAACTTTACATGGTGCATAGCTGTTTCTAAAGTGAGTTTCTTTCCTTAAATAATGGACTTTGGATGTGTTCATGATAGGTACCCTTTATGATGCCTCCACAGACAAGGCCAAAGCGTTGTGTCAACCATTTCTTCATTGCAAGGCTCATACATTACCAGCAACAATTAGCAAGGGCTAATCCCTTTTGGGCAGCTGCTGGTTCTGCACCTATTTATACGGCAAACCCATATAATTTAAATGTTATGCCTCAGCCTGAAGCTCTCATGTTGGGTGGAGCAGTTATCAAGAATCCAGCTTTGCAGTTGGAAAAGGGCCTTCCCCCTGCTTCAGTTGCTGACTTTCCAGGACAAAGCCTGAGGGAGAAAACGCCCAACTCTTTCATGGACGCCCAAAAGAAGCATCTGCTGCTTCAACAAGCCTCACAACAGGTAATTATAAGCGATCACTGTACTATTCAAAATCAGATGAGTTATTCAAATTTGTGAATTTTTTTTGTAGGTGTTTTGTTTTAAATATGTAGTGTATGTATGAGATTTAAACCTGGAGCTTGTCACTGAGTCCAACCACATTCTTACATATCAGTATACCATTGGAGTCAAAGCAACATAGAAAAAAGGTATATTCAACCAAAAACTCAGGTACATCCGTGGGTTTTCATTCATAAAACTTGGCAACTAGGTGAGATGATGAGGGAATTGCCATGATCTTATTGTGGTCCCTATTTCTTGAGAAATTGCATGGGAACCCTCGAATTATGACCAATGCATTATACTGACTGTTAACCATCTTGAGGAATCGATGGGGCTTCTATGGGAAGCAAGGTAGTCCGGCCAGATTAGTGAGAACCCTTTCCCGATCGCTTGCCTCCGGAAAAAGGTGTATATTTCAAGCACCATAATGTGATGGTTTTTAGGGACCATTGAAATGAACATCACATTCCTGGATTTGAAATGACTACCACGGTCATCATCATCATCATTATCATCATTTTTCTTTCTCTCCCTCTTTCACACACACACACACACACAGGTATGTATACTTGCTCACAGAGACACAGCTAATGTTCAATAAAACTGTGATGGTAGACACTTTTGTAGAAGTAGAATCAAATTCATGAGGTCTATGCTTTTCTTTTATATTTTATAGTTTCATTGATTATGATAATTATTCCTTGCCATTCATATAGTTCAATGCATTATAACTTGCTTAGTGGGTCTTGAACCAGGGCGCGACACTTATTTTCCCAGTCAACCAGCCAAGAACAGGGGGAACAACGAAGTCCGAGAACCCATCAGAGAATGGCGCAAAGCCTTTGATTCCGTCTTCCTCAAACCCCGCAACACTCAACGCCAACTTAGCCGCAACACCTTCTGAGGCCCAATATCTCACCATGCTCCAAGCTGGCTACCCTTTCCCAATTCCCCCACCTCCTTATAACAGAGGAACCCAGCCTTCTCTTCACCCCCAACCACCTCATCAATTTTTTGCAGGTTCCTTCTACCCTTCACGATTGTTGCACCTCCAACCTCACCCCCAACCCCAAAACTCACCACCTGATTCCATAAGAAATGATGCAAAACCTCCCCTAAAAAGTGATGACTCTGCTACAAAAAAGACCAATACCCCCAATTTCTCTAGTGACCTACCGATTGCTCAGACTTTTCCCATCATGTCAACAAATTTAGCACCAAAAAACCATCAACAACCCAATGATGCACACCACCTCCAAATGAGCTTGAAACCTAGGTGCACCAGCAGTAGCATTAGCAGTACAGTGGATCTCGCTTCAACTATACCTGTAGCCATGTCTATCTCTACTCCATCAGGTGTTGGTCACACTATGATGCGAACCTTGCCAGATTCCAGCCAAATGAAACCCTCGAAAGCACCGGATTCTGGCAGTACGAAGATGGTATCTGGTAAGCCTGTGGTGTATTCAGGAGCCAATGCAAAGTTGCCAGCGAGCTATTCCGGTCATTTTCCAGCCAATTCTGGCTGGAAAATGACACCAGTTAGTCAGTCCAATCAAGCGCCATCCATCTCTTCTAAGAATCAGCCAATTCAACAACATCAGTTCTTATCAAGCTCTGATGCTTTGGTTCAACAACAACTACAAAATTTATATCAGAAAAGGCAAATTGCTGGGCCTCAAGTTGTTTGCTCTGGTGGTTTGAATGGCTGGAAAGCAGTGAACCAGCAGGTGATGACTACTAGCAATGGGAGTGCTTCATATGTTGGGGGTGGAGGAAATGGAAGCAAGGGCAAGGGTAATCAGGTAATGTACAAGTCACTAGGGGGAAATCCTGTTACTGTGATGGCTACCACCACTAGTTATGCACAGCCGGCCCCGAACCTTCCTGTGAGATCGGCAGATTAGAAACTGGCAAAAAAGGTATTTTCATGGTTATCACACCCAAAAAGATATCCTTGTTATCTTCTTTACTTGTTTATTAGCCCTCTTTTCCTTTGAGGTTTTATTTCTTTTTGTTGTTTCTGTGGGGAAGTATGCTAGAATGTGATGGATCGTTGAAGTACGATGGTCCGTTGGGCCATCACCGTATGATGAAATGGTGAATGGAACGGAGTGAAAGATTGGGACCCTTCGTGTTTTGGTAGGTCCCACACTCTTATCAACATCCATCATTTCCATGGACAGTGGTTGTATCGACAGTGATGGTCGACCATGATTTGATATTGCATCCTCTTTCACCTTTAGCTTTTACTTTTTGTTGCTGTATTTTATAAATCCAACTTCAAATATGTATGGGTGCGGTTTGTATAGAGCCTAGGTTCAAAACAATCAAATCAGAGCCTACCTTCAAATTGTGTCGAGAAATATGGTTTCAATACTGGAAATCTTTATGATAGCGTTAAAATATATTTTCATCTTTATTTATAACGTTTAAAGCTTAAAAAATAGTGTAGATCGAGAGATCTATGAAAACTTGAAAATCTTAAAAATTGACGGTCCAAAAGTACGTTACAAAATACACTATTTCAAAACTTGAAATCCATTTTTTTCTCATGTCCATGCATCTTCATGGCGAGATGATGAATTTGAGGATATTTGGGCATCAAAACAATCTTTTATTGCGAAATTTTTGAGGTAGGCTCGAATTCGATTGTTTAGAGCCCCGGCTTTATATAAACCTTTCCCAATATGTATTAAAGTTTGCACATGAGTTGCCTTTGTTAATATAACATTTCATTGCACATAGGATTACTATTTCCTTTGCAGTTTGCGTAATTAAAAAAAAAAAGAATGCGCATGTGAAAGTCTACTCGTACTGAAGTGTAAGAAGCTTTAGATATTCATAAAGAAGCTTTTGAAAAATGTAAAATAGAACTTTACCTTTTAATGTATATATTATTCTGGATAATATGTTATTATTTTCAGGTGTATTGTGGCAATTCAACTTGAGGGGACCTACTCAACCATGGTTCGGGCGCAGGTTCCATGCAACGGGCCAGCAGGGGCCCGCGGAGGTAGCATCAGCGTCATTGACATAAGCGCAACTATGCACACTGACGGCTAATTTTTGTGATGGTTTATACATGGATGTCACTTACAAGTGGTGGGAGAAGATATGAGCCATAGTTTTCTCTTTGAAATTTTAGGAAGAGAAATTAGATAGAATGGGGGCTCATGAATATGAGCAATTGCATAGATTCCATAGGGATATGTGCTTTGTTTATTTATTACTTTGGTTTCTCTTATGCCTGTATTTTTCCTTGTGTATTTTATATAATGTTTTAGGGTAAGTTTTAGGGTAGGGTACATCTACACAAGTGTACACTTTATGGTTTTTTTTTTGTTGTACATTTTAGGAATAGGAATACGAGAATATTACTATATCAACTCGTCTTTATTAATTTTTTTTTGGGGTGGTGAATGCCTTGTTGAGCATTCTTCCACCTATATATGCCCCTAATTAAAGAATAACCTTGTTTTGGCCCCAAAGTGAAGTCTTGTGTGCTTTACTGCTTGCACTACATGCCAAATAGTGACAATAGCCAGCAAAAAATATGGTGTTGGCCATAAAAACTTATGGGGTTGGTTTTCCCCCTAATTTCGTCGAAGTATAAGTTAAAATGCTTGATATACATATTGTGCACTATATTACAGATGTGAATATGCTTTTTAATAGGAGTTGGAACAGCCAAAAAGGTTCTCCTGATTAACGAAATTAATCATTTTTGGCTTTTACAATTTATTCATTTTAACATATCAATGATGTCCATGTTAGCGATCATATTTGTAAAAATCAAGTCTAAAATTGATCATAAGAATAGATCATAAAGGGCGGACATGTCTACGTATGAGTATAGAAACCGTGTTCTTAATAAAATATTAAGAGGTGTCTTGTGTTAAACATTCTCGAGATAGTTTAAGAATATCTATTTTCATCTCTAATTATAAAGTAATGAACTTTAAAAATAGTTCAAATCGGGTAAATCTATACAAATTTAAAAATCTTGAAAATAGAATATTAAGATAATATGTTGCAAGATACTGTTTTTAGGCTTAGCAATCTTTTTATTTTTGTTATATTTATCTATCTCGTTATTGAGACGATCAATTAGTGGGTTTTCCAACACTTAAACAACCTTTCATAATTTTTGAGATGCACTTGTATTTTTAAGGTTGTAACCTCAAACTTTTTCCTTGAATTGATTGTATTTCTTAAGTACTTCAAATATAAAACTTTGGAATTCGGTAACTCTGTTTTTCTTTTTAAATTTCCTAATAGACCAGCAACACCATTTAATCAAGGACTCCAAATTCAAAGATCTCGTCTCTTGAGCTTTAGAAAGTTGAGTCTAATTCTTCATTTTCATCGGTAAGTCAGAAAGTGTCGGTCCAATGATCACAAATCGATGCACCAGGTTTAAAGTAAGCTACGTGCTCAAGAGTATTCTTTTGATCTAAAATTTTGGTCTTTACTTTAAAATCATAGATAACTATGGTTAGTAAAACAAAAAAAATGCATATACATTTTGAGTTTCTGAACTCTTAGATCTAACCATCCAAAAATTGGATATGATCTGTTCAATATTAGGATGCTTTACTTCATATATGTATAGAACATGTGTGATTTCTTTCGCTTATTGGGGTTAGCCACTAAGCGGCAGTAGAAACTTTTTGCCAAAGTAAAGTTGATCAATTTGAGGGTTTTTTTGGCGCCAAAACAAAGATTTCATTGAGATTAAGCTTCAAATTCAAAAAGCACCATCCTTATACTAACATCTTCCAAGATAAATAGATACATTCCGCAGATTGAAACACCTGAACTATTCTCTTGCAAGATCGATATGAACATTTTAACACCTTACTATATCTTTTGATTTAAATTCAAAATACCCATAAAAAAAAATACATGATTTTGAGTTAGAATAGCTCCAAATAGTTAAAATGTTAAATAATTCATATCTTATTGGTATTTTATTATATTTTCTAAAAATATATTTGCTCCCACAAAAAACGGCCCACTTAAAAAAGACTTAATTGATCTAAAATTTTGGGAAGTACACAGGAGGGGAAAAACAAAATAAACAAAATTTAGCACCCAAACACCCAAATTTGACAAGCAACCTATGTTTAAGAGGCACATTGCACAATATTATGTTGCGCTCTCTCTCAACTCATTGCACAAGAATGCACCTCTCTCTCTCTCTCTCAGCAATTTCAAACCACTTAATGACCAAAATACCCAATCACCAGGTCTTCCAAACCACTTAATGATCAAAATACCTAATTAGCAGGTCAACTTGAAGTTATCTCGAGAACTTCCCCAAGATATCAATGTCGACTCCAGGCCATGGTCTTCATATTTTTATGGAAATTATACCTTCTCAATTAAACTTATTCACATGTACGGAACATGCTCTATTTTATTTATTTTTATACATATAATAAATCCAGGTCGGGTTCACTAGAACCTTACCGGCCGGGCCTAAATGCAGGACCATGCCCAGACCCCCATGTCAGATCTACCCGATGGGTCCAGGGTTAGGTCTGGGTCCATTGCTGCCCCTAATAAGGCCATGAAGTAGCTGGTACGATTACTTGAAACGTTTTAACATGTTGCAGTCTTTGATAAAGGAAGCAACCCATGCAAAGCCAAAAACTAGCTAGTGAAAACACTCGTTATCAGATGAAATAAAAAGAAACAGGTAAGCTACTGGTCATATCTTCCTTGTGCAGAGAAGGGAGTAGAATCAATTGTGAGACTGTTCCCCAAAACCATATCTGCAACCATTTCAGCAGTACCCAGTGCCTACAGTTAATGATAAAAAGTAAGTTAGTGGGCCTATATATATATATATATATATATATATATATATAAT